CTAATGCCTCAATCAGACTTAGAGGCAACCTGATTAAGATGCTTGTTTCTGACCAGGGTGTCACTCTCCATTCTCATCATGATAAAGAAACTGCTATTTGGCATGAATTTAAAGAAAGGCTTGCTACCTCTAACTTTGATGCTTTCACCATTGACCCCTCTGCTTTTGTCCATGCCCATGATAACCTTGAATTTCTTGAAAATCCTTTCCACCCTCAGGAAATTGATGATATTGTTAAAAGCCTCCCAAATGATAAGTCTCCTGGTCCTGATGGCTTCAATAATGAATTTATAAAATCTTGCTGGCAAACCATCAAAGGGGACTTCTATAATCTTTGTAATGCTTTCCATCAAGGATCTCTATGCCTGAAAAGCATTAACAAATCCTTCATCACTCTCATTCCAAAAGTGGAAGCTCCAGCAACTGTGTCTGACTTCAGGCCTATTTCTTTACTCAATACCTCTTTCAAACTCATCACCATGCTCCTTACCAACAGATTTCAAACTGTCATCACCAAGCTAGTTCACACCAACCAATATGGATTCATCAGATCTAGAACCATTCAAGATTGCCTTGGGTGGGCCTTTGAATACCTGCACCTTTGCCACCACTCAAAGAAAGAAATCATAATTCTCAAACTTGACTTTGAGAAAGCCTTTGATAGAATTGAGCACCAAGCCATGCTGACACTAATGGAATTTCAAGGTTTTGGTCAAACCTGGATCAATTGGATGAAACAAATCTTCTCATCAGCCACTTCAGCAGTGCTGCTCAATGACTTGTCTATTCTGGAAGGACAATTGGGCTGGACAATGCCTAGAAGCCACCTACCCAGAACTCTTCTCCTTTGCCAAGAAGAGAGACATATCAGTAGCTGAAGCCAATGCACATGATGATTTAACCCAGATGTTTTACTTACCAGTCTCAGAGATGGCCTATAATCAGTTACAAGCTCTGAACCAGACAGTATCTGACACACACATCAGTGAGGACAAGGACATTTGGCAATATAGTTGGGGTAAAAACTTCTCATCTTCCAGAGCTTACAAGATAATGATGGGTCACACACAACATCACACTTCCATCCAGTGGATTTGGAAGACACCTTGTCAGCCCAAGCACAAGTTGTTCTTCTGGCTCGTGCTCAAAGACAGACTCAGCACAAGAAACATTCTTAGGAGGAGAAACATGTTCTTACCTTCATATAACTGTGTGCTCTGTGGTCTGGAAACTGAAGAAACAGTTCAACATCTGTTCCTGCAATGCCAATTTGCAAAAGAATGCTGGCACATTTTGCAGATTCACATTCCATCTGATGTTGATTTTCCAGAAGTCATGCACTTTCTGAGGGATGCCCTTCAATCTCAGTTCTACATGGCTGCCATCATTCTTATGAGCTGGGCTATTTGGACTTCACGCAGTGCTTGCATTTTCAATGGCTTGGTGCCATCAGTTGATTACAGCAGATCAACCTTTTACAGAGATAGAGTCAGCACAAGGCACTCACAATTGTTTGATCAATGGCTCCACTTGATATCTTAGTTGTTGTTCTCACTACCGGAATGCCCAGTTTTGCCGTGCTCCACGGCACATGGCGAAGCCCAAAAAACACTTGGCAAAGCCTTTGCTGAGTATTACACTCGGCAAACAGCACACGGCGTACACAGTGCCGGCAAAAGTTTCTTTGCCGAGTGTTTTTTATCGAGCACTCGGCAAAGACTTTGCCGAGTGCTAAAACCGACGCTCGGCAAAAAAAAAAAGCAACGTGACGGCGCGAATACGGTCATGGCGCATTTGCCGAATTTCTAACGGCATGGGCACTCGGCAAACATACCCTATTTGCCGAGTGTCCACGGGAAAAACCTCGGCAAACATGCCTTGTTTGCCGAGTGTCGCAGCTGTGACACTCGGCAAAGACTGGCCATTTTAGGCCCAGAATGTACAGATTTTAGTCTCTTTGCCGAGTGTCACAGCCCATACACTCAGCAAAGATAGCCATTTTACGCCCAGAATGTATAGATTTTTGTCACGTGTCCTCTTTGCCGAGTGTATTTAGCATGGCCCTCGGCAAATAGGTCTTTTGCCACCGGTGTAACACTCGGTAAAGCTACCATGTATATCCAGTTTATTTGGTTCGGTCACATATAACGTACCACACTCAAATGAACATTACATCCATCATAAATAGTTCATAATAAGCATCACAGATAGTTCATATAGATATATCGACAACACATAAATGCAAATAAACTTCAGAATCACAAGTAGGTTCATTCAAAATCACAAATGCAAATAAAATTCAGATTCGCAAGTAAGTTTGTTCACAGTCGCTCTCCAGGCTCATCAGAAATGCAAATAAACGTAGTCACTGTGACCACGGTGACCACTATGACCACGGTCGGTCATAAGGCTCATTCGATGCCGCAGATTGGAAATAGAGCAACATGAAAGCACATATATATGTAGAGTAGACTATGAAATTAAGCATAGTAACATGGAACCACATTTTTTGTCTACTCATTATAATTTCATTTAGCGGAAGATAGCATGGATCATTAAGTTTTAAATTTATAAAATTAGCAGCGATCAAATAATTTGGATTCAACAAAAGACATTAAGCTATCTGATTGATCAAGGGATGTCATGATATTTAGGGATGAAAACGGTCGGAAACGGTCGAAAAACCTCTCAACCGTTTTCTACTTCTACATTTTGAATACGAAAACGAAAACGAAAGCGGTAAAGCCGGACACGAAAACAAACACGAACTTACGGAATATCAAAAATTTCGAAAACGAACTAATTCGAGCGGAATTATGTCGAACACGGTCGGTATACGAAAAATCAATACGGAATATTGACCCGTAGGACCAAGTGCATAATAATTAACAAGTACATAATAATTAACAAGTCCTACAACTTTCTTAAAAAATATCTCCATTCAACACGACGTAAGGAAGATATGATTTTTTTTTAAGGCAACAAGCGTGTGTACGCGATTAATATATCGCTGACTTTGTTTAATTTTTTTGAACATTTTCAAGACATCAAATGAAAAAACTAAGAACTAGAAAGTGTAGATCTCGTTGAGAGCTACAATTTTCATATAAAAATCATCTTCATCCGAGATCGTATGAAAAAGATATAATTTTTCTAAGGTTGGACTTGTAGTGGGTCAAATTTGGTTTAAACCGAATTTCGAAACCGAATTTCGAATTCGGGATATTCCGAATTAAAAGTAGAAAAGTAGAAATCGGTCGAACAAAGCCTAAACCGAATTCGATCCGATTTCGAATTTGGTGTTCCGAATTTCGAATTCGAATTTAGTATTCCGTATTTTGTCCGAAAATACGAATTCGCTCGGGTCAAATATAGAAAACGATGCGGTTCGGTTCGGGATATTTCCTTTCCGTTTTCATCCTTAATGATATTAACATCAAGCCTTCTCTATGTCACACCCGATTCTGAAGAGATAAACCAGGTGCATATTACATGTGTGCCAGGATCAATTTCCACACATGCAACGACTTCATTAATGGTCCAAAACACAGTGTTCGTACAAAAGAGCGTAAACGAGTACAAGTATCATTATTACAAGTCTTTATCAAAGTCTAGCGGCAACATAAACGATAGTGTCCAACGAAAGGTAAAGACGACGACGACATTGTAGCAGATCCACCTCACCGCAGGAAGGTCGACGGCAGGAACAGGAGCCTAACACCCAGGTAGATCTTCAGGAAACTCCTCCCAATCTTGTGTATCCGAGCAGCCTTTATTTTGTGATTATAGCAAGGGTGAGTCCTTGTCGAACGCAGCAAGTACATGCGGAAAATAAATGATATGCAAAGCTTAAAACCAAGGTAGGCTGACTCAGGCTTACTGCGGATTGGCATTTTAGTTGGCAAATTTTATTAGTACAACCTGATTACTAAGATGAGTGAAAGATCCCAACCATTAATTATCATGAAGAACATTATTATATCATCGTCATGTACCGAGGTAGCCACCTCCATCTGAAGAAACATCACCTGTTGTTCAATTGTCCATATTCTAATCATGTGAGGGTCTGGGCCGCTCATAACCATGAGCACGGCTGATATACCAGGTTTAAAACTCTGCAGAGATGTACATCTTTACCCTCAAGTCGTGATCCCCATATGCCCGAGGTAATCAGCCCCGAAACACTACCGAGGTGAGCAGGGTCTCACTACGAGACTCTTCACAGGTTCTAATTAATAGAATGCAACCCGCAAGGTTTTCCCTAGGCGCCGAAAGTTGTCCCCGTAGCCACGGGACCCGGACATCCGCAACTTAATATTCATTACCTATGTTACTCTCTTACGCCTACCCGGTAAGCTGCACCCTACTAGTAGAGGTCCTGCTAATATGTCAAGCCAGAGCCATATGGCTTGAGGATGTACGGTAAGTCCCAGGTGGTCGCTCCACGAACCGGTCCTTAGGGAGAGTAGACACGAGTACACCTGAAACAGTGAAGGGCTCCAGTGCACGCTCCCCCTTTCACCTTAAACCAAGTTGCTATAAAAGCATCTTTTAAACATCATCATGTTGCAATAAGCCATTAGTCAAGATTACATTTATCATCATGTGTCATTGCGGGTGGAGCAGCTAAGCATAACTACACAACCCATTATAAAACCCCAGGGGTAACAAGGAAGGAAAAAGTAGGGCTAATCAGGTCCATAGGGTTTACATAATTGAGACACATGCAATGTAAGTAAAGGTGAATTAAATAGTGAATAGGTAATCAAGATGATCAAACGGTGCCCGCACTTGCCTTGATCAAGCTCAGGCTGCTCAAACTCCTCCGGGACTTGCTCCTCGTCTCCCACGAACGGATCGTCCTCTAAACGCATCAAGCATCACACACGGGAGCAAAACATGCAAGCAAACATGCATTTAATTAGAACAGTACACCATTACAATGAATCAGAAGTAAACAAGCTCATAAAAGTGTTCTACGCGTCGAGACCTGGATTTTTTCATCCGCATATCTGATGCTTGGGAAGATTGGGATGGATTTCAGCTGCATGCCTCAGCGCAGCCTCCAATTCCCTTACCTCTTCCTTGCTAGCGCCTCTAGAACGCAAATAAATTTTGACATCCTGGAGTGATGGCAGGTTTCCCAGACCCAACTCAGGACCATCACCATTGCAGGTGATTTGTCTAGCCGCCTGTACACAGAACTCAAAGTTAAGAATTTCCAGCCTTGGCATAGCTCCTTGCTGAAACACTATAGGCCCTATATATCCTCCGAACTGGAACAATACAAGGCATGGGAATAATCCAGCACCAATGATGAATCCCCCAAGGGTTCCAAGATTTTTTGGATCCACCGACAGTTTTAGCAGACGGAGAGCTGGCAACCTCCCAAGGGTTTCGAGATTGACCTGCCCGAAATCCCTGACAGCAATGGATAGGTATACAAGGTCCAGTAGATAAGACTGATTCATCCTTGCTGGCAGTGTTGAGAACCAGCATGGCCATTCTATATCCAATCTACAGAGATGTCGAGGGGCAACCCAGGCATCCAATCCACCAAAGTCCCATTGATTATCTCCAAATATCTTGATGTATAGATATTCGATATTTTGCAGCTTGGATAGGCACTCCACCAGCCTCCCACTCCAACCAATGAACAGCAAAATATGAAGCACTCTCAGTTTCATTAGCTGGCCCAACTCTTCTATAATGTCAATGGAGACGGTAATGTCTAAAGTTGACAGCACTTCAAGGTTTGTTAGGCTCCCAATCCCATTTGGCACTCTTGTAAACTCATCAATGTACAGGCACATCAAATTTTTGAGCTGAACAACAGTTGATGGCAAGCTAAACATATTGTTGCCCCTCACATCCAAAGTCTGTAGAAATTTTAGGTTTCCTATTTGTTGAGGAAGCTGAGCAATGTGTGTGGCACATAGTCCTAGGTACCTCAAGTGAAATAAATCCCCAAGGTACTCAAGGCTGTAGCCTCGTGAAAGATCGCAATCTTGTAAATTCAGGACTCGTAAAACTCGGAATCTTCGAAGGACTGGCATTACACAAAATGCTGATGGAAAGACAACAGCTGACCTTACATGTTCCAAGCTTGCAATACGTAGAGGCTTAGAGTTATCTTCTTTACCATATTGAAGAGACAACCTCCCAAACAACTTTGATGGAGATGTGTACCACACACCATTTAATATAGTAACTAAATTTTCTTCACTTGACAAGAAGCAAATAAGATCGTGCACCATATCATGTACATGACAAGCATATATCAAGCCAGTGTACCTCTCATATATAGGTTGGATCATACTTCTGTTCATGAGTTCATTGAAGTAATTGTCGCCAATTGCAAATAGACTCTTACCTTGGTTTTCACATTGAATAAAGCCTTCGGCTATCCACATCCATATCAAACGATCTTTTTCAATTTTATAATCTTCCGGAAACACGCTTAAATATAATAAGCAAGTTCTCAGATGGGAGGGCATTTCATAATAGCTAAGTGATAATATCTTTCTCATATTAACCACATCAGTACTATCGCTAAGACCAGTGCCAATAGAGTTGTACACATCATACCAATCAATCTCATTTCTTGCTTTAGATGCTAGAAGACTAGCTGTTGTAACAATAGCCAAGGGAACACCACCACATTTCTGTAGTATTCTCTTGGATACTTCAGCCAGCTCCTTATTCAGACATTTGTCTATGTCTTCAATGTTGTCCTTGTTTTCGTTACCAAATATTCTTCTGTACAACAACTTTTGGGAGTTACTCAGGGAAAGCGGTTTCAACTTGTAAGCACCACCAACTTCTTCCGCAACACCAAAATTACGCGTTGTTGTGATAATTATGTATCCAATATCATTATCAGGCAAGGCACGTCTAATAGTTTGCCAGACTGAGATATCCCATATGTCATCAATAACAAGAAAATACCTACACACAGGGCAAGTTATTAGCGAAAACTAATAAAATTACGATGGGAAGTTCTATTGTTCATGAACCAAATTGTGCCAATTAAGCTAACTGGAACAATGCAAATGAACTCATGAGTTAGACAAGATTAACATGTCCATAGACAAAAGAAGTCGACTCAGAATCTTAACCAAAAACAAAAAAAAAGACACCCAGGGAAAAAAATTACTGTCATTGCTCATATTATTTCCACTGAACAATGATGTTTAAAACATAAGTGGCTGTATTTTTTTATTTAACTAGGACATGCATGCCCGTTTCTCATTAACCTTGTTTTTGGCCCTAGGACGTAGTATTATGATTGGAGGGCAAAACTTAACAGCGGCAAAACAATTCGTATGCACACACTAATTTCAGGAATGCTTGGGCTTCCATACCTTTTATGTTGAAGGAATTCTCTGAGTTCATTGATGAGCTGCTGCTCGTAAACAAAAGTTTCATTGATGCTGTCATCGTATTTATTCCTATCAAGTTGATACAGGATGTCCTTGAATAGTTTATTCAAGTCAGGTGTTTGAGAAACTGATACAAAAGCATAGCAATCGAATTGTGCACTAATCTTCTCATACACTTCATTAGCAAGAGTTGTCTTGCCCATCCCACCAAATCCAACAATGGAGACTATCTTGCCTTGCTGTGAGGGCACTCCGTTCTCTCCCATCAAAATCTTGATTAACTCATCTCTAGTTTCATCAATGCCAACGAGGTCTTTAATCATTGTGTACTGAGAAAATAAACGTGGGTCCACAGTAGGTTTGGTAGGTTTATCAACACCAAGGTTAACATCGTACATGTGACACCTCTTGTGCACCTCTGAGACACGGCTTATGATGTCTCTGATCCGAGTAGGAATCATATGTCTGGCAACTGATCTCCGTATACGACTCAACATACGACTCAACTCTGCTGACTCGTTGAGCTTGCCAGGCATCATGAGTGTGTCAATAATGTCCTCTATGTCATCAGACAGCTCCCTCAAATCTCTGGCCCAGATCTTGTCCTGGCTGTTAAGCTGGTCTGTCGGTGTATTGGAGAGCTTCTCGAGCTCAGAGTGAAGAAACATAATCTCCTCTCTCTCTCTCCTCCTCTTTGACCTGGCGATGGCCCAGATCTTGTCCTGGCTGTTAAGCTTGAGAAGAACACCAAGCTTGGTGATGACCCTCGATAGTGGCCCCGTTGCGGTCTCCATGGATCAGATCTGTCCTGGGCGAACCCAAGGAGTGAGGCTACTGTGTGTATACCGAGGAGCTATTTGGATGGGCACAAAGGACGGAAGAGGGCGAGATAGAACTCACCAGAGTTCTATCTGTGTGTATACCGCTGGTCGCGAATCCCGCTCCCCTTCTCGCCGGATCTGGCTTCCCGCCGGGTATCGACGGATCAAGCCGAGGAGCCACAGTCGCCCTCTGTTTTTTGTTCCAAGTTGCTTCCGGGTTGCTGCTCTGTAGCTGCTGCTGCTCTCTAGTTGCTGCCCTCTGTTTTTTGTTCCAAGTTGCTTCACGTATCTCCTTCCACATGCCGCAGCATCTTTCTCTTTGCGCCGGGTGCCTACTGGTGACAGCTTTTTCTAGGCCCCTACCATAGTGGCCATATCATCTTCTTTCCCCATTTCCATGTGGGTAAATTTGGGTAGCACATTATTTAATATTGATATTTGCTATTCCCTCCATTCTAAATTATAAGTCGTTCCAAGAATCTTGGAGAGTCAAAGTATCTCTAGTTTGACCAAAATTATAGAGATAATTACAAAAATTTATGACCATTAAATAAGTATACTATAAAAATATAATTAATAAAGAATCTAATGATACCTAGTTAGTATCATAAATGTTATTATCTTATCATATAAATTTGGTCAAACTTACGATGCTTTGACTCTCCGAGATTTTTGGAATGACTTATAATTTGGGATGGAGGGAGTACTTAATATTGGCTTTGCTAGGAACACTTTTTAATCGTGGCAATTAGCCCCTTAGACACTATATTTATTAAATTTTGGAGAATTTACTAAAACTCTAATGTGTGAACAAATGTTTGGATTTTAGGGTCAGGTTTTAACGTGGGTTCCACATATAGATCTATGCACACCGACCTCCATGAAGCATAAAACTGTATGGCACATCATTTTGAAAAACTTCTATCAAATTTGCTGAAACTTTTACAAGGATCATGAGATTTTAGTTCTTTTAATCTGGGGGGCTCACATGTAGCCATACTAATTATGATACTCCCTCTGTCCTAAAAAGGCTGTAATTTTAAAACAGTGTTGTGCTATATTAAGTTTGACAAATTTATATAGAAAATAAATAGTAAAATGCACCCTGGGTGCTTAAACTTTTCATGGATTCACACTTGGGTCCTTGAACTAAAAAAGTGACCATCGCGTCCTCAATATACTGTGGACTATCATCTAGGTCCTCCAACTAAAAACGTGACCATTTAGGTCCTTAAACTAATGTGGCACCCGAGTAGAGGTCCATATCTCACCACATCAACTCTGTAAGCCTATTTTTTTAGAAACTCTATAAGCCTATTTAAAGGCAATATGATATGATCAGGCGAGTATATTTTCAGGCCATAATTATTTTTGGATTAAAGGCATTTTTGCGCACATGCATGCAAACATGGTTGCACTGTGGTTGGGCAGCTGACCGAAGATCGTGTTGGCCAGCATTAGTTTAAGGACCTAAATAGTCACATTTTTAGTTGAAGGACCCAGGTGATAAACCACAGTAGATTGAAGACCTAGATGGCCACTTTTTTAGTTCGCAGACCTAAGTGAGAATCCATGATGCGTTTTACTAAAAAATAAACAATATTTTTAGGACGGGTGGGTGGAGCTGGGGCCGAGCGTGCACGCGACTCAACCACGTCGTCAGCGAGAGAAACGGGAAGAAATGAGAGTGGAATGGGGAGGAGAGAGTCAAGGGCAGTACGGCCTTTTGATAAGAGTACGATGTGTTGTAGCCTTGTAGGCAAAGCCACCGGGTGTGCTTGACACAAATTTGACCAGTAAAGTGTGCTCCGCGCAAGCCCAACATTCTTTAGTGTCCCATGGACATTTAAAGCCATAAACAAACCAACAGAAGAATTGTGACTGGGCACGTTGTACTGATGCACAGAACAGAGCGCACCGAAAACAGAGGATGTGGTCAACACTGTCCACACACCAAAGCAGAGCATGTCGCTAAAATACCTCCGTTTTTCCCCCCCTCTTCATTTCTGTGTTTGCAGGTTCATCAGGGCGGCACATTGGCCTACCACTCCCCCAAAGGAAGATCCCAGATTTCCCCTGCACCGCATCATTGAGGTCAACAAGCGAAATTTGTGCTTGGATAAAAGAGTGACATCTGCCTAGAACGACCTCCAAGCTAGCTGTAAGCGTGTGCTAGACACACATCATAGACTGTAGCGCTTAATCAACCAAATGTTATCCAAACAAGTCATCATGTTAAAGGATAGGACTCATATGAGATTGCAGCCACCAGAGCACATGCTTTTACTTTAACAATCACACAGCTGATTCTGTCATGTCCATGTGACCATGTTATTAACATCTTAGCTAATGATACAGACCTTAGTTTTTTTTATCATGATACAGTGCACATCCACGTACATGAGTTAGGCCCATGCTATGTCACAGGTCCAAACAGGTCCAAGCTAGACCCGTTTGCTCACATGGCAGTCCACGCTGGCACCAGCGATGCTAGACCAGCACCTAAACTTGGTAGATTGTGTCACCTAGGTCCATAAACTTTCAAAATGCACATCCACATACATGAACTAGGCCCACACATCAAAATGAACATTCATTTTAGTGTCAATATGGATATCTGTATAAGTATCCGTATCCATATCTGGTTCTGAGATCGAAAAAATATGAGATATGGGATAAAATGAAGGATCACTGATATCCATCTGTATCCGGTCCGGTTTCGTTCCTACCCCTAGTTATGCACACAATAGCACTTGCATCTTTGAAGGATACTGTGAGTATGACATAAGCTTGCATCGTATCAAAGAGCAATGTAGACGAATCTCGTAGCAAACTTTTGACGGCGTTGAAGTAACCACAAAGATATTAGGATTTGGAGAAGCCGGCCGTAAAGTCTATAAGCATAACTCTTGAGGGTCTACCCTATATAAGAATCTAGTGTTATAGAACCGTCTAGCCTAATTCTCTTGAGGGCTCCTAATTGTTCCTTACAAGCCTTGAATGGGGCCCTTATATTGACTTGGTTGATGTCTACATTGATATACTCAAGTTCTAATAGAATTATAAGTCCTCATAACACACTTGTCTCCATTCCTAATCAAGTAGGATTTGAGTCACCATACAACAAGCTGCATAATTAGAAATCCGGTCGAGATCTGGCCGCCCGCCGCTGGATCCGAACGCCCAATGCCGGATCCGGCCTCCCCCACTGCCATAACGCCGAATCCGACCTCACCCGCCACCGTGACGCTGGATCTAGCCTCCCTCGCTGCCGGAGTTGACGCAGACATCGAGGAGTAATGCCACCACAGGGAGCTGAGGCCGAAGGAGGAGCGCCACCGCGCCCGCGCCCCCGCTGCCCACATCGCCCGCGCCCGCCGCCTCGGGCGTGCCCGCGCTGCCAGATCCGGCCTCCTCCTCGCCCGCGCCGCCCGGTCCGGGCTCCTCCTCGCCCGCGGCCGCCGGATCTGGGAGGGAGGGGAGGAAGGGGTGCTGCCACCGGCCGGATCTAGGAGGGAGGAAAGGGAGGGGTGCCGCTGCCGACCGGGTCTGGGAGGGAGGGGTGCCGTGCTCAAGGAGGGAGGAGAGAGAGGGAGGGGCGGCGCCGGGGTAGAGAAGGAGTGAGGGAGGGGCGGCGTGGGAGAGAGAGGGAGGAGAGGGCCAGGGGTGGCTAAGAGGGTGCGAGAGAGAGAGAGCTAACAGGGTGCGAGAGAGAGTGTGTGTTTAGGGTTTCTGATTTTGTTTATATAATGGAGATGGTAGTGGGCTTGTGTGGGCTAGAGGGCTGGGCCTGATTTTCCGAGGCGGTTGCGTTAGAATCCCCGCCTCGGTTAATGATTTACCGAGGCGGTTGTCTTAGGATGCCCGCCTTTGTTAAGAACTAACCGAGGCGGTTGCTGGGCAGGCTGCCCGGCCACCTAATAACGGAGGCGGGCAACCGGCCCGCCGGCCTCCGAGGCCATTTGGCAAACGCCTTGGAAAAGTTTTATTGTAGTAGTGTTGTCCTGGACGAAGACAAGGAGGGTGAGCAAAGTGTGGAGATAAATGTGCCGCGGAGGTGCTTGATAAAACTCGGCCTAATAAGGGTAGAATTTAACTCTAGGAGCTATTCGGATATGGGCAGAAAGGGCTACGGAGCGCGAGCTAGGACTCACCGTCACCGTCCACCTCTAGTCACGAATAAGGCTCCCTGTGTCGCCGGATTCGAAGTTGCTTCTGCCAGCAGCGCCTAGCTTGCTGCTCGGCTCTTGGCTCTTGGTGATGCCTTGGGAGTTGGGACAGAATCGGCAATAAGAGACGAATGGAAGGAAATGAAATCAATGGAAGATAAGATGTACTCCCTCCGTCCCAAAAAGATGTAATCTTGCATTTCAAATTTTGTCCCCAAAAAAATGTAATTGTGAACTTGAGATCACCTTTTCCGATGGGATCTGCCTATTAAAAATACTACTACTCTATTTATTCATGAGAAGATCATTTTAGAATGCAATGATTGTTTTTAAGTTTCTACCGATGCTGAGAATGATGGAGGAGGGGCAAAAACGTAATTTTACATCTGATCTTACCTCAAAAAATAAGATTTATATTTTTTTCCTCGGACGGAGGTAGTACAAGGGGACAGGATTAGATGCGGCTACAGCGAAAGGCAAAATAATTGCTCCTCTGCGTCGTCTTTTGCACATGGTGTGAGTGTGTGACCCATCGTATTGATGCCCCCTCGCTCGTCCTGTCCTGCCGACATCCACAGCATTTTCTCCTTGCCCCGAGGTAGCTAGAGCAGAGAGCAAGAGCGAGCGCTGGCGCAGTTGTGGAGAACTCGAGATCTGGTGGAGTGGAAGCGAGGTGACTGATGGAGGAGCACTGAGCTAGCTGAGGAGACTCCGGCCAAAGCGATGGTGAACAGGGACAGTACAAGAGGAGTGAATGATTAAAGCCAATCAACGGTGGTGGTCCGCAGGCCCCCAGTCCGCCAG